TACTTATTTTCAGGCCTAATTTGGTTGTATCTGCAAAATTCCATACTATTCGGGCTGATACTACACGTTTGGTGCACAATGAAAGGCAAATCGGACGAAGATATATATGGGAGCTATATCTAATTTTTTACCGATTATCTCCAATCAGGATTTCAGCTCTATTCCTTCACCAATTTTGGTACTATTTAGTACTTTTCGTACAAATATAGTACACATTTCCAAAACTACCTTCGTATCTCAATTCGAAATACAAACAGAGACCTCACCAATAACAAAATTTAGTACCGTATGTACAATTATAGTACACTCATTTCCGAAACCACTTCCATATGTCCAGGCTACACATGAACAGCGATCCCAATACAAAATTTCTGATTTCAACCACTATCTGTTAATCCAATACCAAATATAGAACTAACAATACTTTTCGATCAACACCAGATTCCAACAGAGTCCTCTATATCATTTTTTGGGATTCCAGCTCTATTCCTTCAGCCAATACCAAATTTAGTACCATTTAGTTCTTTTTTGTATCGTCACTTCCAAATCACCACCAAATCTCAAACACAGATACTATTAGTGATCTAAATATTAAATTTCAGGATTTCAGCTCTATTCCTTCACCCAATACCAAATATAGTACCATTCAGTACTTTTCGTACAATTATAGTACACACGAAACCGAAACCACTTCCATATGTCGAGGTTACACACGAACAACGATCCTAATACCAAATTTCAGATTTCAAGCATAGTAATATTTAGTACTTTTCGTGTAATTGTAGTACCCATTTCCAAAACCACCACGTTATCACAAAGCAACCACCAAGAGTACCCCCAATACAAAATATTATAACTCTAGCAATACCCATTCACCCAATACCAAACTGTTCCGAAACCACCTTCATATATCAAAATTACTTTCAAATCCTGATTCTAATATTAAATTTCTTAGATCTAGCTCTATCCCTTTACATAATACCAAATGTTACCATCTTAGAGGTTTAGTATCATTTTTGAATTTTTCGTAACCTTAAAGTTCGAATTTAAAAAAATCCTTTCATACAACTATCCTACACTCCATCAGTAAATCTCATTCCAAATTTCAAAATTCTCTCCCTCCTCCATTTGCAATGTATTTGGCCATTTTCAAACAAAAACCAGTAAAGAAAGTCCTAAAGTCGGGCGGGGCCGATTTTATGATACCTTACACCACTTTGCTAATTTAGTTGAGTTCCACTTAATAATTAAAAGTTTTTATGGGAGAATTCAATCATACACGCTATGATTATAATTATAATTTAAAATTCAAAGGACTAAATATGCCGAAGCATTTGTATCTTTTAAATTCGGACTTGTATTGCCCATTTGGTGCGAAATTAATTTGAAATCGGATAAAGATATATATGGGAACTATATCCAAATCTGAACCGATCTCGAAAAACTTGGCAAAGATATTTCTGAGCTGTATTTGATATATTTCCCTGAATATCGTTGTTACGGAGTTCATATTACGGCTGTGGGTAACATATACAACAAATCGGATGAACAATGTATATGGGAGCTATAACTATATCTGAACCGATCTTCGCCAAATTTGGCTTACTGCCTTCTAGACTAATTTCGGTCGTATGTGCCAAATTCCATCTGTATTTCTGAGCTGCATTTGATATATTTCCCCAAATATTGTTGTTACAGAGTGCATATTACGGCTGCGGAGGACAAAAATAACAAATCGGATGAACAATATATATGGGAGCTATAGCTATATCTGAACCGATTTCGATAAAATTTGGCACACTTATTTTCAGGCCTAATTTGGTCGTATGTGCAAAATTCCATACTATTCGGGCTGATACTACACGTTTGGTGCACAATAAAAGGCAAATCGGACGAAGATATATATGGGAGTTATATCTAAATTTTTACCGATTATCTCCAATTTCAATAAGGTTCGTCCTTGGGCCAAAAAAATATTGTTTGGAAAATCCGATAATAAATGCGACCTGCATTTTGTTCACAAGAATACATGGACAGACGAACGGACGGACGGACGGACAGACGGACTGACATGCATAAATCGACTCAGAAAGTGATTCTATGATGGTTCTCAAAAGTAACTATGGGTCTATCTCGTTTCCTTCTCCATGTTACAAACAAATGCACAAAGACATAATACCCTTACCACTATGTGGTGTAGGGTATAAAAATCGCTTAAAAACCAGTAAAGACAGTCTTAAAGTCGGGCAGGTCCGACTTTATGATACCCTACACCACTTTGCTAATTTAGTAGAGCTCCACATAACAATTAAAAGTTTATGTGGTAGAATTCAATCATACACGCTATGATCATAATTATAATTTAAAGTTTAAAGGGCTAAATATGCCGAAGAATTTTTATCTTTTAAATTCGGACTTGTATTGCCCATTTGGTGCACAATTAATTTGAAATCGGATAAAAATATATATGGGAGCTATATCCAAATCGGAACCGATCTCGATAAAATTTGGCTAAGATATTTCTGAGCTGTATTTGATATATTTCCCTGAATATCGTTGTTACAGAGTGCATATTACGGCTGTGGGTAACATATATGACAAATCGGATGAACAGTATATATGGGAGCTATAACTATATCTGAACCGATCTTCACCAAATTTGGCATACTACCTTCTAGACTAAATTCGGTCGTATGTGCCAAATTCCATCCCATTTGGACAAATATTAGAAGTTTGGTTCACAATTAATGGTAAATCGGACGAAGTTATATATGGGAGCTATATCCAAATCTGAACCGATCTCGATAAAATTTAGCAAAGGTATTTCTGAGCTGCATTTGATATATTTCCCCAAATATTGTTGTTACAGAGAGCATTTTACGGCTTCGGAGGACAAAAATAACAAATCGGATGAACAATATATATGGGAGCTATAGCTATAACTGAACCGATTTCGATTAGATTTGGCATACTTATTTTCAGGCCTAATTTGGTTGTATCTGCAAAATTCCATACTATTCGGGCTGATACTACACGTTTGGTGCACAATGAAAGGCAAATCGGACGAAGATATATATGGGAGCTATATCTAATTTTTTACCGATTATCTCCAATTTCAATAGGGTTCGTCCTTAGGCCAAACAAATGTTGTTTGCAAAATTTCATCTCAATCGGATAATAAATGCGACCTGCATTTTGTTCACAAGGATACATGGACAGACGGACGGACAGGCTGTAGTATACATTACGAACTTCAAATACCAAATTTAAAACAATTCCGGTGAATAATGTCGCTTAAATCACCAAAATACCGAATGTCGGGAGGTACCATTATATGTTGGCTATACCAAAACTAGGTCCAGGTTTTTTTTTGGCCCATTTGCAATACCAAAAGTTTTGCAGACATAATATACGTTTGAGAAAAACTTTAACAACGTACTTCATTTCACATCGTTAAATCGACATAGAATTTTATTCTGATCAAGGTGTTACAAACGAAATGACAAACATAATATGGTGGAGGGTATAAGAGTTTTTCTAATGAAAAATCTTGACTTTTCAAGAAAAAATTTCAGGGAGCACCTGATATTAAAATAGATTTACGCAATTCATTATACCCTACACCACAAGGTGGTCAGGGTATTATGTCTTTGTGCATTTGTTTGTAACAGGCAAAAGGAAACGAGATAGACCCATAGTTCCTTTTGAAGATCTGCATAGAATCACATTCTGAGTCGATTTATGCATGTCCGTCCGTCCGCCTGTCCGTCTGTCCATGTATTTTTGTAAACAAAGTACAATTCGCATTTATTGTCCTATCCAGATGAAATTTTGCACAAACCATTTGTTTGGCCCAAGGACGAAACCTATTGAAATTGGAGATAATTGGTCAAAATTTAGATATAGCTCCCATATATATCTTCGTCCGATTTGCCTTTTATTGTGCACCAAACGTGTAATATAAGTCCGAATAGTATGGAATTTTGTACGTACGATCAGACTGGACCTGAAAATAAGTATGCCAAATTTGATCGAAATCGGTTCAAATATAGCTATAGCTCCCATATATATTGTTCATCCGATTTGTTATTTTTGTCCTCCGCAGCCGTAAAATGCTCTCTGTAACAACAATATTTGGGGAAATATATCAAATGCAGCTCAGAAATACATTTGCTAATTTTTATCGAGATCGGTTCAGTTTTGGATATAGCTCCCATATATAACTTCGTCCGATTTACCATTAATTGTGCACCAAACGTCTAATATTTGCCCAAATTGGATGACATTTGGCACTTACGACCGAATTGAGTCTAGAAGCTTGTATGCCAAATTTAGTGAAGATCGGTTCAGATATAGCTATAGCTCCCATATATACTGTTCATCCGATTTGTTATATTTGTTACTCACAGCCGTAATATGCACTCCGTAACAACGATATTCAGGGATATATATCAAGTACTGCTCAGAAATATCTCTGCCAAATTTTATCGAGATCGGTTCCGATTTGGATATAGCTCCCATATATATCGTTATCTGATTTCAAATTAATTTTGTACCAAATGGGCAATACAAGTCCGAATTTAAAAGATACAAATGCTTCGGCATGATTGAATTCTCCCATAAAATTGTTATGCGGAGCTCTACTAAATTAGCAAAGTGGTGTAGGGTACCATAAAGTCGGCCCGCCCGACTTTAAGACTTTCTTTACTGGTTTTTCATTTCTAAGAATTTTTTTTAAAGATTTTATACCCATGGTCTAGAATGAGAATATATAACTGATGGCGAACCGTTTAATACCTTCTAACTAGTCCTACCTATGCTTACAACAACAATTATCTCAGTTCGGATTAAGAAGACACTTATCAACATTGTTGTTGCTAAATACATTGTTAAACACATAGCCACCGAATGACATCTTTATATTCCCACAAAAACTCACACACACCTGCTCAGACACACATCCACCCACACGATTAACTTTCGACTTGTTTTTTACTTACCCGCGTTATGATATTGCCATCTCCAATCCGTACAATATTATCCAACGATATTGTTGCGGTGGTGGTGGCCGTGCTGCTGGTGGTTGCAACGGCCGATGTTGTTGATGTTGCGATAACTGTCGCTGTTGCTGCGGCGGCTGCTGCAGCCGATGCAGCTGCATTGCTGCCTATTGTCGTTGTTAAATTGGCAACAAAATGAGCTCTCGTGTAATCAAATTGCAATTGCAGGAGAACAACAACAAAGATTACATAAATTAAATGCAACAACATGTTTAACGGTTTGTTCAAATGCCTGATACAAATCCAATAATGCCACAGCTACCAATGATGTGCCGGATGATGGTGGTGGCGATGATGATGATGATGCAGTCGTAGCTGTGTCGTTGGGCAGAAGAGATGCCAATGTCTCGGGGGGAGATATTGGCAACAACAATGGGTTAATGCAATTTGGCCTCTTGACTTGAAGTGTATGGCACTGGGAACCTGTGGATTTGCTCCACAATGTTTTCTTTATTTCCCTATCGTCGTGGTTTCGCCTGGCTTGGCACTGAACAGTGGGAAATTGTCCTGTTTCCGTTTTTGATTTCCTTTGATATAAATGTTGTTGGTTGTTGTTACTCGTAATGTTTTTGTTATTGCTTAAGTCCGATTTGTTCACAGTTGGAGTTGGGTTCGTCGTGTTATTTACTGTGAAGTTCTTTGCAATCTTTCCGATAGTCGTAATGATGCCAGCGTTGTAGCTCTTGTTGCTGATGCCGATGCTGCTGTTGCATATTTTGAGGCTTAGCCCAGCCATAATGTTGGGGAGCATTGCATTGTTGTTATTGTTATTATTCATAAAGTTGTTGTTGTTGAGAAATATAATTTCATAAGCACTGCAATTGAATTGAAAAAGAGAATGAAAGAGAAAATTAAATGAGGCATTTATTGGTTAAGTCTGTGTTAATAAATTATTTAATTATTGATTTTAATGTTATTATGGTACTTAAATTACTATGGACATTATGGCCTCTAGGACCAAGTGTTTATTTGTTGTTGTAGTCTGTTTAACAATGTTTCAATTTATGTACAGAGAGGTAGGGGAGAATAGACTTTTCGCTTTTAAATCTGGAACATCTGGCTTTGGCGACCTTCCTAATGATTTTCGATGAGGATTTGACTTTGACAATGAGTCCAGTTCATTTTTGATCACCGTTTCTCACTTTCCAACTCTTTCTCAATGACTGAGAATCACTGTCCAGAAAAAATGGTTGAAGGTAGAATCTTGAAATTTTGCACGAGGGTCAGTCTAGGAACGAATGGTACTAAACTTCCAAAATGGTATCATTTGGTGTTAGACAAACGGGATGGGCTAGAACTCTGGAATTTGGGATGAGAGTGTCTAATGGCATATTGGATAGATGTACCAAAAGGTTTTTGGAAATTCGATTTTTAAAGTTTGGAAAAGTTCTAGAATGGTACTAAACTTCCAAAATGGTACTATTTGGTATTGGACAAACGAGATGAGCTAGAACTCTGAAATTTGCAATGAGAGTCCCTGATGGAGTGCAGGATAGATGTACCAAAGGGTTTGAACTGCAAGGTTACGAAAAGTTCTAAAATCGTACAAAATTTCCAAATGGTACTATTTGCTATTAGGCAAACTGGATTGGCTGGAACTCTGGAATTCGGAATGAGATTCACTGATGGAGTGCAGGATAGATGTATCAAAGGGAGATGTATTAAGGTGGTGCGAACTGTACTAAATGGAACTCAATTTTTGAACAGTTTGATTTATGTTAAACAGATGAAGCTGGAATATTAAAATTTAGTATTGGGGTCTCTGTTGGTTGCTAGGTTTATGATAAAGAGGTGGTTTTGGAAATGTGTACGAAAAAGTACTAAATAGACTATATTTGGTTCAATTTGGTACTGGGTGAACAGATAGTTCTTGAAATCTGGCATTTGGTATTAAAACCCCGCTGTACATGTGTAGCCTGGCATATGTAGGTGTTTTGAGAAATGTGTACTATAATTGTACGAAAATTACTAAATAGTACTTAATTTGGTATTTGGTGAAAAAATAAGACTGGAATCCTCAAATTTGATATTGAGGTCTCTGTTGATATCTGAATTTGAGTTTTGTCTGTTTTTTTTTTTAAATGTGTACTTTAATTGAACAAAAAGTACTAAATAGTACTTCATTTGATATTCGGTGAAGGAACAAAGCTGAATCCTGAAATCCAGTTGGTGTCTATGTTTAAGAAATGAAGGTGGGTTTTAAAATGTGTACCATAATTACATGAAAAGTACTAAAGAGTACTAAATTGGGTATTGGTTGAAGAAATAGTGCTGAAATTTTCAAGTTTTATATTGAGGTCCCTGTTGGCATCTGTGTTTGAAATTTGGCTAAATAGTACAGAATTTGATATGGGGTGAGGCGTAGGGCAGGAATCTGGCATTGAGGTCACTTTTGGTGTCTGCGGTTAAGTTATGGAGGTGGTATTGGAAATGCGTCCTATATTTGTACGAAATGTATTGAATGGTACTAAAATTGACATTGGGTGTAGTAATAGAGCTGAAGTCGCGAAATTTGATATTGGGGTGAAGGAATAGAGTTGAAATCCTGAAATTTGATGTAAATATTACTGTTGGTATCTGTGTTTGAGATTTGGCAGTGCTTTTGAAATCCTATATTTGTACAAAAAGTACTAAATGGTACTAAATTTGGCATTGGGTGAAGGTTTCCTGATATCACTGTTGGTGGCTGTGGTTAAGTTTTGGAGGTGGTATTGGAAATGTGTCTTATATTTGTACGTCAAGTACTAATTACAACTAAAATTGCTACTGGGTGGAGGGATAGAGCTGGAATCACGAAATTTGATATTGGGGTCTCTGTTTGTATCTGTAATTGAGATTTGGCGGTGGTATAGAAATAAGTCCTATATTTGTACTAAAAGTACTAAATGGTACTAGATTTGGTATTGGGTAAAGGAATAAAATTTAAATTCTGATATTTAATAATTAAATTACTGATGGGATTTGAAATTAAGATATGGAGGTTATTTTGGAATTGTGTACTATATATTTAGGAAAAGTACTAAGTGGTACTAAAGTTGGTATTAGGTGAAGGAATAGAGCTGAAATCGTAAAATTTGATATAAATGTCACTGTTAGTGTCTCTAGTTTAGAAAAGTGGCTGGTTTTTGGGATATGCGTACTAAATTGTACTATATGGTACTAAGGATAGTTTCAGTTTTTAGTACCATGTAGTACAATTTAGTACGCATATCCAAAAACTGAAATTCTATCCTATTAAGGTCTCTGTTGGTATCTCGAATTGAGTTTTTGGGGTGGTTTTGTAAATGTGTACTATAATTGTACGAAAAGTACATACACTGTTGGTGTATAGGATGGAGTGATGTAGATTCTAAATTTGGTATTTGGTAAAGGGATATAGCTAAAATTCTAAAACTTGATATTAAGGTCACTGTTGATTTCTAGGGTTTACATATGTGAGACGTTGAAATAATTTGGGCCCGAAAAAATGGATGAGGGTCCATTGTGCAATGGTTTTAAAAATATATCCTCCTCAGTAAACTTCAAAACGAAAGATTTTGCAGACTTTTTGATGTAAATGATGTACATTTTTCTATAATTCTTTCCGAAAAGGAAAAACTTTGATAATCGATAAAACCTTAAAAATCTGAAAATTTAGTTGATGTATGAAGCTTTGATTAAAAAAGTGACAAACTGAAGAAATTGTGCATTTTGAGTACTAAAAGGGCCTAACACAAACAGTTGGAATGCAGCTAAAATTTTAAGGTGGAACTATCACTGACGATGTACCGGGTTTTTGCTAATTTATGTACATAGAGATTGAAGTGGAAAGATTTTTTTTCCAAATCTGGAACATGTGATTTTTGATGATGACTTGAGTTTGGCAGAAAGTCCAGTTCAATTTCGTATTCGTATTAGCTGGATTCTTACTGCAGTAATTTTTTTGTGTTGCAAAGTGTAGTTTAAAGATCTTAGATCGTAGCCGCTTAGCCAAGACATTATTGGACTCTCTGTCCGTTACTCATTTTCCAATCCTAGTATATATTTTTATACCCTCCACCATAGTATGGAGGGTATATTAAGTTTGCCATTCCATTTGTAACACCTCGAAATAAATATTTTAGACCCCACAAAGTATATATATATTCTTGATCAGCATAAAATTCTATGTCGGTTTATCAATGTCGGTCCGTCTGTCCGTATACCTGTCTATGGAAATTACTCTAGCTTCCGAACGAAATGAAGTAGGTTGATAAAATTTTACTCAAATGTGTATTATGTCTGCAGGACTTTTGGTATTGAAAATGGGCCATGTTGGTCCACGTCTTCGTATAGCCCCCATATAACGGTACCTCCCGAAATGCGGTATTTTGATGATTTTAACGACATTATTTTCCGGAATTGTCTCAAATTTTGTATATGAAGTTCGTAATGAATACTACAGCCTATGACAGAAAATTGTCTGTGCAGGTTCACGTCTTCGTATAGCCGCCATATAACGGTACCTCCCGAAATGCGGTATTTTGATGATTTTAGCGACATTATTTTCCGGAATTGTTTCAAATTTTGTATTTGAAGTTCGTAATGAATACTACAGCCTACGGCAGAAAATTGTCTGTGCAGGTCCACGTCTTCGTATAGCCCCCATGGTACCTCCCTATATTCGGTATTTTGATGATTTTAGCTACACTATAAACAGATTTTTTTCAAGTTTCGCATTTGAATATTGTGACAAAAGTTGCCTACGCAGGTCCACGTCGTCCTATAGACCCTAATATACCGCTACATTCGTTATTTTTAAGAGTATAATAGAATTTTTAACGGATTTTATTTTTTTTTTTTTGAAAATTGTTAAATTTGTACCAAATGATGGAGGGTATTCAAAGTTCGGCCCGGCCGAACTTACAACTTTTTTACTTGTTATATTTCCCTAGATATACATCACGTAATGTCTGTACTTGAAAACATTTACATTGTCATCGTACATTTAATTTATAATATGAATTAATTTTAATATTTACAGACACACTAAAACACATACCCATCTACATGAATATTCGCTCAAGAACAACAACGATTGCTAGGAAGTAATACTCTCTCGGTGATGCTTTCGTAATAACATTTCATTGTAGTTGTTTCGCCTGTAATGAGTATCTATAATTTACATTACATTTTACATAGAACATTAACTGTTCCGGCTGGTAATACAAATAACCAAACATTCTCCAATGCACAGACATACACACACACGGTCACCCGCTCGCTCCTAGAACAAGCCAACCATGTAAATTTCCATTATATGTAAATGGCAATAGTATGCGTTTAGTGGCTGAGGAGGAGGTATAGAAGATACTCGAGGAGCAACACACACATACCCGCAAACCCCATTACTAGTAAATTTACACTGGCTTCCTCTCCTTTAGCCATCCACATACATTTACACATTTACATTCATATTGTAGATGTAGCTACTTTTTGTTGTTGTAAGAAATCACACAAGCATTTTACATACAATTGCACTTAAATTTTCATTTGCATTTACAATTTTTCTTTTTACGATGGGAACATGTTTTTATGTCATTTTCCTTCTCCTCTTCTCTCCCCTACCACCTCCCACAAACAACAACTTTGTATTGAATGCGGCTAGTCTACTGTGAATTGCGCCATTTCTTGTGTGAACATGTTTGAAGGTACCTTACAAGTGTGTTGAGTATGGTATGTTACAGCAGAAGTAACATGTAACCGATTTGAATGGACGAAATTGTTCCCTATAAAATCTGGAGGGATTATATCTCTATTTTTATACCCTACACCACAAGGTGTCTTTGTGCATTTG